ATTTGGTGTCTCCACTGCAGTGGTTGCAGTCTGTCTGTAGGTTTCTGCACACATCATTGAAATGTAGTTAGATCTGCATGGTGCATCTGTACATTAGTTTGTCCAGTTGATGACATCAGATGTGAGAACCCACAGTTTGATGGCAATAACATGCAAGAACCAAGTTTGATGACATCACATGCGAGAACCTACAGTTTGATGACATTGCCTGCGGGAACCTACAGTTTGATATCATCACATGCGAGAACCTACAGTTTGATGACATCACATGTGAGAACCCATACTTTGATGACATCACCATCTGTTCCAAATGATGTGAATATTTTTGTTCCTGACCTCACCATGGAGGATAACAAAAACTGATTTAATGAGGCTGATGGAACAGTCATAAATTGTTAGATTTTTTTTATCCCAAGCTAAATTACCTTTTCACCACTAGTTCCCTCTTTTCATCACAAAATAGTCCTGTTTATATCTAAAATTTCTTCAGAAGATTAGGACAAATATAGCCAAATTTTTTGAGTAAAAACTGAAAATTGTCTGTTGGCTACAAAATTAGGGTTCATTTCCAGAAATATTGAAAAAAAACAAGAAAAAAAGTGCAGAAAAATGTTGGCAAAGTCTGGTGGTGAAAAGGCTAGCTGCAATGCATTGTGTTCTGTTTATGTTATAACAAGGCATAAAAAATGACACACTATTTTAATTTGAGAAACTAATTTTTGCAAATCCTGTGAGTCAATGAAGTTTCAAATTTTGTAGCAGTCTAATTCTTAACACTTTCACTGCCAGACTTTCCTGTCCAAATTATTCTGCACTTTATTCTTCAATATTTCTTGAAATGAACCCTAACTTAAGTGTCAACAGTCAAAATCTGAGTCAGTTTTAACTTTTTAAAAATGTGGCTATTCTGGTATGGTACAGTACATTTTTGGTGTATGTTGGCTCTTAACCCTTTGCGCCCCAATGCGGCCATATACGGCCGCTTATTTCTGACCAAAGATAACCCAATTCGGTCGTAAAAGGCCACCCGTTAATGCACTGTCAAAATCCCAATGCGGCCGTAAATGGCCGGTATTTCATAGATTGAAACAGAAGTTGATTCTGATCTCCCATGATCTTTGCATGAAAAAATAAATTGTTGATGAAAATAATTAGAAATACAGGTATGTTCAGACTGAAAATTATATACGAATTGTCCTCGTACTTTTCTTGTGCAACGGGTTTTTCGGACGGTGTCTGTGAAGAGCTGTGACAATTTGCATAAATAAACAAACACAGCGGCATGTTTGGTGAAAGTTCATTTATTCTACCGCAGTTTTTATCCAAAATAAACGCATAACGCATAATACATATAAAATTTATATTCATCTGAACTGGAAACATTATTTAAATAAATTACCTATATAAAATGTTGTTTTTCCTTGTCGGCGAGTTTTTAATGTCGAAAAATCAGACTGTCATCGCAATCAGTCTTGCGTGCCAGCAACAGAGGTCAACACGTGAAAATTGCCGTAGTTGCTGGTTCCGTAAAAAAAGCATCCCAGTTTCGTTGCTATTTTTCACTGCAAGTCCTTATTTCGCCTCTGTTGTATTTCCACTGGATATCCATGTATTTTTTTCATTCACAGTGTTCAAATATCGCTTTAAAATGGGGGTTTTAAACGGGAATATCCAATGACCTCTGTAGACGACACTGTCATCAATTACC